TAGATTTAGTTAATACAAGAAATTCAGTTCCTTTGAGAAGAGATACGTTTCACCCTGTACCTTACTAATGACGTCCACCCAAAGTAGGGATATTGTTCGGATCATTCTTATTTCTGTAGCAGCAGTATCAACAGTTATCGAATAAGTGTTGGGTTACACTGAAACCTGAGTAAGACAACGTAGTCTACTATCACCCATGATATTCCTGATTGTGGTCGAATGCATCATGCAACAAACAGTGAGGAGTGAAAAGAGGGGGATACGCTGAACCGAGGAAAAGAACCTAGAAGATTCGGATTTCGTCGATGATGACTTGTGTCCCACAAACTTGAAGATCTACAGGTGAAAACTAACAAGTTGAGAGAAGAGGCAGGGCAGGGCAGCAAAGACGGAACTTCAAGTGAATGAAGAGAAGACAGAGGTGATGATGATACCAAACCAACGACATCACCACCGACAACAACAAGCTCTAACCACCATCAACGGGAGAAACTTAAAGGAAGTTGTCTCTTTCACTCATCCAGGCAGCACTGTTTCAACTACAGGCGGCACAGACGAGGACGTCAAAGCCAGGCAGGATCGGAAAAGCAAGACAGGCGTTCATTAACCTGAAATAAGGGTGGAGATCTTCTGCATTCAGCATAAAGTGCGAACGAGATCCGTATTTTCAACACTAAGTCAGTCAAGTCAGTGCTTCTTTATAGTTGAGTCTTGGCGCGTTACGATAGGCATTTCCAACAAACTACGGATATTCATCAACCGCTGCTACCTACGCTCACTGGATACTTAGGCTGAGATGGCCAGAAAGAATAAGCAACAAGTAACTCTGGCCGGCAACGAACCAACCAAGAACCTATCGCTCAAATAATATGCAGAAGGAAGTGGAGATGGATTGGGCATGCACTAAGCAGACAATTCGGGGAAATCACGCGCCAGTCCTTTGAGTGGAACCCAGATGGGAAGCGACGAGTTGGGTGTCCGAGGCGGGGGTGATATGCAGGAGATGGTGTGAGGAAGAAATGAGAGCTTGTGGGCAGTCGTGGAGCCAAGTTCAAAAGTTTGCAGTGAACAGAGTGGAATGGAAACGTACTACTGAAAACCAATGTTCCCCTAGGAACCTAAAGGACAAATAATAATATATACTGAGACCTGCATTAACAGGGTCTTTTTATAATTCACTAGTATCTGGTACAATACTTCAAATATCAAATGTACACGCTGTGAATCTTGCCATTACTTCAACTGCAAAAAGGATGAGTTAGTAGGAGAACAATTCAGTAGCCCAATACGGTTCTTTTCATGAAGTTTAAGGAAATGATGTTTGTCGATAATAATAATAATCTACTTTACTGAGACAATACCATTCATCCAATTCAACATAGGACTACGCATTACTCCACAAACGTCCAACCTGCCAAAGGTCATACATCACCACACTAAGTAAAAAGGCAGTGAAGTGGAAGATGAAGGTAACAAAATTCAGTCATAAGAAATTTAAAGTACAAAAAGAGAGAGAGGAAGAATGAGAAAGTGGTGAGATTCGGTATCGCGTCGTCAAGATGAGGGCAATGTATCTTTACATCTGCTCCACTGACATCGCTTCCCAGCCATATCACCTACAGTCAGTCTCCAACCACTGGTTCCTCTTATCCCGTGGACCCCAACCACCCACTCTGCATTGCCCCACATGGATAAAACCAACAGTCAAACACTTCACACATTGGTGTCATGTTTCAGTCTGGCCACCTCTCACCTTTCTCCAGACTCAACATACTTCGGTCAACATTATGTGATGAGGCAATCGATGACTCAGCATACGTAACATGTGTTGGAGCCAACCATCTCAATCGATGAAGGTTCACAACCGTGTCAGCCGACTCAACTAACCTCTCCTCCCTAAAACTCTATACCTGACTTTTGCATTACTCATGTGGTGTGGTGACACCATGGAATACGGTGTCCTATACTACGAAGATAATGGTGGAAAAACACTTGAAGCCGTATCTTCGCCTTTAATGGTCATGTTTCGCGGCCATACAGTAGAACAGACAGGACTGCTGAGCAGTACATGCGATCCTTAATAGACAATTGGATATCATGGCGGTGCCACAGATGACGTAAGTTGGCGAAAGTCAATCGAGCGTTTTGTATTGGTGTATAGATTTCATTGGCCACTGAGTCAGTAGGGCTGATCCTACTTTCCAGGTAAGTGAAATGGTCGACACACTCAACTACTTCACACTCTATTGTTAACCGTGGCACCATTGAAGATTAATCCTGGAGCAGCAATTTGTATTTGGGTGGTGAGAACTGCATCCGAAACATTCTCAAACCATACCATCCTATTCCTACCTTTCTCGAGGTGTTTTATGACGCAATTAATAAGTTTGTTTATGTTATGATGACACCAAAAATTTTTTTGTGGTGATATCGACCAAGAAAAAGCAGCTACATTTGAGTAAATCAATTGCTGAAACCTTGGTAAAAAAAAAGATTGACTAACAAAATCAACGTGAAACTAACTTTACACCTACCGAAGTTTCGACAGCCACATAGTATTATAAGCCTTCACATTGCCTGCCTACTGTACAAATGTGTACAACATTAGTTGAATGCATTTCATTTCATTTGTTCGCTTAATCGATTTTATATAACTTCACGTGAATCTAATTATTGCAGGTGATATATCTGCCAGAGTGTATACACATTAATAAGTTTAATCACGTGCGTATAATGAACTACAGAATATGAAAGGCTATGAAGTACGGAAGAACACAATCTCGTGAGGATAACAACAACAACAACAAAGAAAAAAACAGTTGACAATTCACGTGAGAATGAACTTCAGTTAAAATTCTAAAATTAAGGTAGAAATTTCATATAGTTTCTTTAACTTCCTAAAATATAACTAAGATATGCTAAACAATTCTCTAAATACTCACTACTTTACCTATCTGATACTGAGTGTTGATGACTGTAGCCGGATTCGAACCAGCGACCACTGGTCAGGAGTCAGGTCCCGTAAATCAGGCCGGAAACTAAGTGATCGCTGGTTCGAATACCACCACAGTCCAAATTTTCAGTTTACCTTCAATCATCATCACCCAGTATTAGAATTTATTTTACAAATATATGTATCGATATGTAATGGCCAACAGACGATTTATAAGCCACCAATAGGATGAGGAGAGAATTGACAAAATATACAGTAAAGTGGAACACTAATGCCCCCCCCCCCCCCAAGGGAAGACAATGTATATTTACGGATAACTTGTCGTTCTTTCTTTTACTTCTATGTGTGATACCTTGACAAATTTACCACCTCTGAAGGGAGAAGGCTGAAAAAACCAAAGCATAGGCATAATTTGAATCACCTTCCAGAGTAGTGTTACTAGACATCTAGTATTCAACTTTGGATCACCAATCACCCCAAAAGTTAACAATGTAAACAATATCCACAGACTGATTGTATCGACGCCTCAGAGACATACAGACTCAAACACGTGGTACTTCCTATACCTCAAACGTCACGTAAATCGTCTCTCTTACATATATGTCCATAGAGCTATGCTCATCCAGTGGTGCCCATTGTCTCCATTCTTATGCAATTTTATCACAGATATACTTATGCAGGTCTCCCTCTCGTCACCTGACTACACAGAGGTTGACCTAATCTCAGGAGAATTTTCTTTAGACCTAGAATATGCAGATGACATAGTCCTGTTGGGTGAACACGCTGACCCTAGATCCAGAGTCTTCTGAACACTTTGAGTAGCAATTTGAGAATGTTCGGAATGCGGTTCTCACCACCCAAATACAAATTGCTGCTCCAGGATTAATCTTCAGTGGTGCCACGGTTAACAATAGAGAGTGAAGTAGTTGAGTGTGTCGACCACTTCACTAACCTGGGAAGTAGGATCAGCCCTAGTGGCTCAGTAACCGATGAAATCTATGCACCAATACAAAACGCTCGATTGACTTTCACCAACTTACGTCATCTGTGCCACCGCCATGATATCCGATTGTCTATTAAGGGTCGCGTGTACTGTACAGAAGTCCCGTCTATTCTATTGCATGACTGCGAAACATGACCATTGAAGGTGAAGACATGAGAAGGCTGGCTTCAAGTGTTTGACCACCATTATCTTCGTAGTATAGGACACCGTATTCCATGGTGTCACCACACCACATGAGTAATGCAAAAGTCAGGTATAGAGTTTTAGGGAGGAGAGGTTAGTTGAGTCGGCTGACACGGTTGTGAACCTTCATCGATTGAGATGGTTGGCTCCAACACGTGTTACGTATGCCTAGTCGCCGATTGCCTCATCACATAATGTTGACCGAAGTATGTTGAGTCTGGAGAAAGGTGAGAGGTGGCCAGACTGAAACATGACACCAATGTGTGAAGTGTTTGACTGTTGGTTTTATCCATGTGGGGCAATGCAGAGTGGGTGGTTGGGGTCCACGGGATAAGAGGAACCAGTGGTTGGAGACTGACTGTAGGTGATATGGCTAGGCGCAGATGTATCACTCCACATAGATTATACTCATCATTCTTCCTTTTTTTCTTCTCGTACTTTATATTTCTTTTTACTGAAGTTTTTTATCTTCATCTTCCACCTCACTACCTTTCTACTTGACGCACTCATATGAAGCGTAACAACTCGGACTGTTATGCAGTAATGCCTGGTCCTGTGTTGATATTTATGATGATGATGAGACTAGCCAGCTACTGATCTCAAAAAATGTATGTATGACTTACTTTAAAAACCTTATCAACGAAAGCGATGCCTGAATAGAAGTCATCAACAATATAGTGTATATACACATATCATTTTGAATAAATAATCATTTGTTCATATAATTCATGAGGAGGATTACACACACAAACGAACTGAATATTACTAAATAGAGTAAATGAACAATATACACAAAAAGCTTTTGTCAATTGAACATTGATAAACAAAATCTCTACAACAACACAATCCAGATATAAACCTTTAGAGTACAACAAGAGTATAACACTCCACTGTAATATGAGTGAGTACACTACTCTCAATAGGCATAAACTTATTAGAGCCAATAATGATCAAGGTGCTTTTTTTTTGTTTGTTTGTGAGAAAAACAAAAAATTTTGCACAGCCGTTAAACCAAAGAAAAACCAACGAAAGCATGAATAAATCTGAAAAGGCAAATAAGCCGGATACAGATAGATGAATAGGTATAAAGAAAGAGAATTACCAAGGGTCACCAAGACACTTGATATACCACCAACAGTACTCTTATTATTACAGGAGTGTAGGAGAATAGGAAGGGAGAACTGTTCAAATTGGCATACACACACTAAAAAATAATTGTAAGCTGGAAATCATACTTTGTAACCGTAGAAATCCACAACCCCCCCCCCTTATAACAAAGAGATAACTTTTCTCTTTTAGAAAACATTAAGTTGTCGATTAGAGCCAAAAGAATTTTCACCACTGTAGCTCACGTAGAGAAAACCATCAGGATCACTAAAATCAGCATACAATTGTCCTATTGTGGCACTATAACAAATAAATGAGAAATGTTTAAAAAAAAACCATTAGAAAAATTACACAAATTTCTTTTAATGATTAAAAGTATCTTTTAAGACAATCAATCGATTTAATGGAAAGCTTAAAGTTGACCTAATCGGCGGAGAATTTTTTTTTGACCTAGAATATGCTGCTTCAGGATTGGTCTATAGCGGTGCCACGGCTAACAATAGAGTGTGAAGTAGTTGAGTGTGTCGACCACTTCACTTACCTGGAAAGTAGGATCAGCCCTACTGACTCAGTGGCCAATGAAATCTATACACCAATACAAAACGCTCGATTGACTTTCGCCAACTTACGTCATCTGTGGCACCGCCATGATATCCGATTGTCTATTAAGGGTCGCGTGTACTGCTCAGCAGTCCTGTCTGTTCTACTGTATGGCTGCGAAACATGACCATTAAAGGCGAAGATACGGCTTCAAGTGTTTTTCCACCATTATCTTCGTAGTATAGGACACCGTATTCCATGGTGTCACCACACCACATGAGTAATGCAAAAGTCAGGTATAGAGTTTTAGGGAGGAGAGGTTAGTTGAGTCGGCTGACACGGTTGTGAACCTTCATCGATTGAGATGGTTGGCTCCAACACGTGTTACGTATGCCTAGTCGCCGATTGCCTCATCACATAATGTTGACCGAAGTATGTTGAGTCTGGAGAAAGGTGAGAGGTGGCCAGACTGAAACATGACACCAATGTGTGAAGTGTTTGACTGTTGGTTTTATCCATGTGGGGCAATGCAGAGTGGGTGGTTGGGGTCCACGGGATAAGAGGAACCAGTGATTGGAGACTGACTGTAGGTGATATGGCTGGGAAGCGATGTCAGTGGAGCAGATGTAAACATACATTGCCCTCATCTTGACGACGCGATACCGAATCTCACCACTTTCTCATCCTTCCTCTCTCTCTTTTCGTACTTCATATTCCTTTCGTGTGCATTCTCTTATGTTCGTCTTGCGCTTCACTACCGTCCTACCTGATGTACTGATATGAGGTGTGGCAACTTGGACCATTACGCAGTAATGCCTGGTCCTAGATCGATCTGGATAGATGGATTACTAGTAAAAGCTACATGGAACCAGTAAACCCCATCTAAGTGATCTTAGTAACTATTTCAGTGTTATAAGATAAGGTGAAGTTGTTACATTTAAGAACAGAAAGGAGATTAGACACGCGTACAACCCCGGACAACTTACATGTGACGTCAATAACACGTACAGTCGCGAAAACGTGGAGCCGTGGCTTAAAAGTTTAGGGAGCTGACTACTAACCACTAATTTGCGGGTTCCAACACCGCTCTACCTACCTACCTGCAGATATGCGCAAGGTAGCTGAGTGAGTGCATTATTGTTTATGTTACAGTTGCGAAAAGTAAATACAATTTTATATGCGGTCAAAAAATTATTCATAAGCTAGTTAGGTTACGATAAAAGCTGAGAATTGTATTCAGGAGAATTTGAGGGGCAAAACCCCTCTACACAAGCACTGACCAAAGTAACTTCTATCCCATGTATTGTACGAAACCATTAGCTCCACAAAGATATACTTAGACTAACCCTTCTTAACAGTAATGATAGCAATAGTTACAGTGAGAGGTTGAGGAAGGTATGAGACTTAGTATCAGTAGGTGAAAGTAAAGGAGACAGAGTTGAGGAGGATAGGTTATGTTTGGTTGGGTCTTGTATATACTAATGGAAACACGCCGGCGGTTGACACTTCCTAGCTGTTCACATTGTGTAAGGCTATTTTTTCATAATGTACCTGAAGGAGAAAAAGACTTGTGTGATCACAGAGCCCATGAGACATCTTGTTGCTTGTCACACACGGCCTTCTGTGGGACGCTGTTTTGAGGATAGAGACATGCGACACCACCGGCACCGGAAAACAGCGGGACGGAGTGGAGTGTTATTTTGGTGGCCGACCTTTCCTAACAGCAGCATTTGCACTAACCTTTATCTTCATACTGTTTATTGTCTCACACTACTCTGTCCACCTTGATATCAATCCTTTTCTACCTCCCTGTTCTTTGTGTACGACTGTGAAGTGTAGTGACTTCAGTTAATGCATTTGTGTTAGAGGTTCTACGTTGCTTTTGTCAGTCAGTCAACACAAGTGTAACTTCCCCTGATAGCCAATAATGTTTAGCTTTCTATTACAACGAGATTTCCGGTAGTCAAGTGATTTTCCAGTTACTTTTTCCCCACCCTTGATTTGAGTGATAACCCATAGGTGTAACGGGGTGGGCGGGGAGGGGTTGTGACCGTATAGTAAGCACTGGGACATGACCATTACTTTCGACACTTGGTATGAACACTTTGAAGACCTTTTTCAAATCTCATTTTGCTAGTTAGAATGATAGATGAAAAGTCCGTCTTTTGCTCCTCAAACTTGGTCCAGCAGAACACGATGCCTATTACAACCTTATACTACCTCAGAACTTACACTAACGCACATTTGACGAAGCAATCAAACTGTTGAATCAACATTTTGGCTATCACTCATCTCTCTTTAAAATCCCTTTCTGATGTATGAAGCTAACGATGAACGATCATGATTTTCGAACACACACCGAAGTTATCAATCGAGAATGTGAATGATTTCGACTGAAGACATTCTCTGACCATCAATTCAAATCCCTAATCTTTGTATGCAGTCTTCATTCCCCGAAATTCTCTAATATTCGAACTCAGTTGGCAAGTCACTTAGAAAAAGAACCCAATTTGACTTTTAATGAAATAGTGGTCAAATTTCAACGACTTTAGAAGTAGGGTTCGTTTTCACTAATAAACGTTTTCAGTCCAAGATACTATAAACTCAGTCGACTGTCAGTCTTTTTATTTCCCTTTAAGAATCAACCGGGTTGATCCATCTCAACCATCGACTATCAATCGTTAATTATTATCGTTCGTCCTCACAATTCCGCATCCTAAGACAAAATGGTCAGTGAGATTTTTTTACGCCAGACAATTATGGATACTTCTTTCCTCTCAACTGCTTTTTGACATTGGCGGAAACACTTTGCATTCATAGATCCACATGAAAAAATGATTTGAGAATTTCACATTGAACACAGAAATAACTGATTGCTTTTCAAAATTCTGAAGGTTTCCTAGAGATTTAGGCCACCAAACGTACAATGTATGCGTTAAAATAGAAATATCACATCGAGATATATATCAAGGGTAAAAGGGTTACTAAAGGGAGTAAAAAAAAATGCATAATCGACTATATACCTGGCCTGAGGCATTGTCTTTCCAACAAAAAGGAAAAGAGCTTTTTCTGACGACAGGTCAATACGTTTACGAATTATCCACATGAATTGAGCAACAGTTACATCATCTGGAACAAGAAATTTATGCTTGTCAATGTCAGCTATTTGTGAATTGAGATGACGCTCCACAACGACCTATAAAAGGAAAATAAATCATACAAGTCTTACATCTCGTAAACTGAAAGATATTTATCCTACTCAATAGTTTTTTTAGTGAAACCATCTACAACACTAGAAAAATTTAACTTGATTGCAACCAAACAACCAACACAACTTTAAGTTTGTACAACTGCCAGAAAGATGTGTGAAACTATGAGTACCAGATAAAATAGAATTTTTGTTTACTTCGGAAGGATAAAATCTGAAATGTACTCAGCATTACCTGACTTTTTAAACCTCGGTAAATGGAGCAGGGTTTGAATCCATGATCCACTGATTGAAAGTCAAGTGTCCACACTTCAAACCCATAAGTTTATTTGCCCAATATTAGAAATTCATATGAAGAAGTAAGGGAGTACCAATGTTTCAATCCGAAATAAAATATGTAATCAGTTGCCATCCCAACAAGGTCTGTTAATCGGATGGTTCATATGTAAATTATATTGGTAGAATTGTACTGCAAGTGATTAATAAGTCAGTTGGGGTCCACAAGACAAGAGGAACCAGTGGCTGGAGACTGACTCTAGGTGATATGGCTCAGTACCGATGTCAGTGGCGCAGATGTATACACACACATATTATCCTCATCTATACTGAATCTCACTTTCTCATTCTTCCTTTCTCTCTTTTAGCACCCTATATTTCTTTTGGCTGAATTTTTTATCTTAATCTTTCACCTCACTACTGTTCTACTTGATGTACTGGTATGACCTGTGGCAACTCGGACCGTTACGCAGTAATGCCTGGTCCTATGTTGATGATGATGATGGAAGTGACTAACAAAGTCAGCGCAGAACCTAACATACATGCATCGCCCCGATTCGCCACACTACAGTAGTACACAAAGAACAGATGGAAAGAAAAAGAGTGGTATCAAAGAAGAGGGAATTGTGTGTGATAATAAACAATCTGAAAATAACCGTTAGAGTGTATATTCAAGCTTTAGTTGTTGAGGAGTTAATACATTTGCACCATTGCGACCAATTTTCAGTCATGTTATCAAAAGTCAGTCCTCAACCGCATGTGTGGCACACATCCCAGCCATCTCAGTCTACAAAGGTTCACAACTTCATCAGTCGACTCGCCTGTCTTGCCTAGTATCCTTCTTCAGACCTCCACATTGATCAAACGGTGATTCCACCGAATGCAAGAAATGCTACGAATACATCTACGATCAAAAACCTAGTAATCCCTTCATGTCTTCTCCTTTTAATGGCTATGTCTCACAGTCGTATAACAGTACATAACGAACTACTGAGCAGGGTACTCGTCCTTTGACAGACAGTCAGATATCTCGCCAGTTAGCAACATAGACAACGCCATCTGGCAAATACCGAGTGGGCCTTTTGTATCCGAGATGAAATTTCATCAGCAACGAACCCGTTCGGGTTGATGGAAATCCCTAAATAGGTGGATTGGTCGACACATTCCACCACTTTATTCCCCATCATTACACTAGGCACAATTGCAGCAGACCAGTAATGCAGTATCATCTTACATTTGACAAGTGCAAGTGAAACGCATACCAAACATATTCAGATTTCCCCCAACCACTGGTTTCCTTTCCCCCGCGGGCAGCAACCACCCACTCTGCATCATTCCACATGGATAAAACCAACAGTCAAACACTTCACACATTGGTGTCATGTTTCAGTCTGGCCACCTCTCACCTTTCTCCAGACTCAACATACTTCGGTCAACATTATGTGATGAGGCAATCAGTGACTAGGCATACGTGACACGTGTTGGAGCCAACCATCTCAATCGATGAAGGTTCACAACCGTGTCAGCCGACTCAACTAACCTCTCCTCCCTAAAACTCTATACCTGACTCTTGCATTACTCATGTGGTGTGGTGACACCATGGAATACGGTGTCCTATACTACGAAGATAATGGTGGAAAAACACTTGAGGCCGTATCTTCGCCTTTAATGGTCATGTTTCGCAGCCATACAGTAGAACAGACAGGACTGCTGAGCAGTACATGCGACCCTGAATAGACAATTGGATATTACGGCGGTGTCACAGATGGCGTCAGTTGGCAAAAGCCAATCGAGAGAGACATTGCGATAAGACTTCTAGACCAACGGAGTCGAATGGTGCCTTCAGATCGAGAAATACAGCTAGTGTTGGGCTAGAGTAAGCGTGTCTACGTTCCAGGACATGCAACAGTGTGAATATTTGGTCGACACACCCGCGGCAGGGTCTAAAGCCTGCCTGGTTTCTTCGGGCTTGTTGTTCCCGAGCTCCACTCAGGCGGACCGGGGTCGAAGTCATTGACTGGATCAATAACTTCGAGCACGTTAGTTAGGTTTTTCTACCATAGTGCGTAGCTGAACTGCGACAGTTGGAATGGCTGTTTCTATAAGCCTTACGACATCTCAAAGCCTAAATGGAGTGACGAGGACAAAAGTAGTCACCGCTACAACAAGAAAAATCACTTGGACACGAGGTGGATATTTTCTAGAAGTTTTCCTAGTTTTCTGTTAGTTAATCTAAACTACTGACCTAAAAATCAAATTGTTGGAATTCCAACTTACCAAAGAGAAAATGTGGCTTTTTATAGTGTTGAGATTTTAAGCTACAAGCTCCTAACTGCTGGGTAGAGGGTAGAGTAGTGGTTGCCTACAAGTGAATCCTGTACTAGTGTATACTGGTCCTGAGAATTGAATCATTTCATCGACAAAAGACTAATACCCTAGTCTATTGCATAACAGTGATCACTAGCCATATATTGAAGACATCGATACGCAGCAAATGCAGCGAACATGAAGTAGGTGTGTTAAAGTGTTTTTAGTTCCTTCAAAACTAAATTACTACAGAAGTAAGAATAGGGCACTAGTAGATTGTAACTCCATTTTAGTTAGTTTGATAGAAATGACATACAGTGGAACAGCAACATTTATTGGATATTTCGGGAATAATTAAATGTTCGTATTTATATCACGATTTGAATATCAGTGACATTTCTAATTAACTGACTATAAAAAGAATCTCAATGACTACATTCAAAAATTGCACTACCTAAACAGAATGTCATCCAAACTATTGCTTTCAGGCAAGATCATACTCTGAGTAGTGGTATATCTGGCAGAACTAAGTGTACAGGCTATTAAATGATGACCAAGGATTGTATTTCTGTACAACACCAAATCACTATTGTTTTCATGAGAAGATAAGTGAGAACAGGTGACCACATATATTACTATGATCATAAACAGCGCTGGCGTGAGATAACCATGAATAAAGCATTCTGGAGAATGAGCGAACAAATGCTACCAACTCTTCAGGAACCTGGATGAAATGGAATACCGAAGTGAGTTATCAACACAAACGCCAAACAGTAGGGAAAACATAGTCAAGACGAACACGTGAAAATGGATATGAAACTAAAGTTCGCTTAGCAGCACACATTACACTACATTACACCAAATATCCTTCCAACTCAAAATTTCCCATAACGGCTCGCTCTTTCAATATAGCCCACAAGCAATTCTGAAAATGCTCTTAACTTCATAGTATAAGTCACATCCACACATGTATTTCTACAGATAGTTGGTATATTTGAGGTTGAAGCTTACACTGCAACTCAACTCACTAGGTGACAGACTTGCCTGTTCAAAAACCGCCCTTAGTTTGACTAAGCTTTGCATGGAAATAATGATCCAAACTACATTCATGACCAATACAAAAGTAAAGACTAGACTTTGTCGGCCTGACACAAATGTCACTTAGTAAAACTTACTGCTGAAATCACAAAGTTATAAAACTGAGCCCCCAACCCGTCTGATTAAAAGGGGGAAATGAAGGCCAATAAAGGATAAATACAGCTGGACACTGTCTAAAAAAGGCGTTAAAATCGAGGAAAAGTAGATAATTAGATGGGAACGAGATGAATTTCGGCGGGAAAAGTACACAATCAAGGGGAAACAATATGGAATTGGGGGGTTATAGACAAGTAAACATAAAGGTTGAATGAGGAGAGACACCAGATAGGAAAGGGAAAATCGACAGGAAAAGACGTAGAAAGAGGCAGTCAGTTGCACTTCTCCATGAATGTCGCTTTAATTTTGCGTTGGGCTTCCCCTTCATTTCCCACTTTTTGGCCCTTTATTCTGTATATTTTCCCTTTTTTGGTCTGTGTGCGGCTCCTAGAAATTCAAAGGGTAGTATTCCCGTCCCCTTGCTCTATCCAGAAATGATTTTAGAGAGCATCAAATAAGAAATATAGTATACTTCAACTCAGGCCCAAGGGGAAATACCGTTACGACGAGTGAACCTAACTACTCAACGACCATGGTAAATTCCCAAGATGTATAATATAAAATACTCAAGTCAAATAGGAAACGAGTGCATTTCCAACAAAATCTTAAAAATGGTGTACGCATCTAAGAAATATGTGAACGAAATAGCGATTAACAGCGCTCAAAAATGTTTACTCAGGAACTTACCGGGACTCGACCAACATACTTATTTTTAATTTTTGTTGAATCCTGCTGCCTTTGCTCTGAAAGAAGTGTAAGGAACAAAGATACTCATACCGAAGGTGTGGCTCTCCTTGAACTTGAATTTCATTGTTGTGATTAAAACGTTGTTTGAACCGCCTCGAATATGGGGAACAATATTTGAGACCTTAGCCCTGACTAACAAAGTCCAATATCCAATATCCAATATTGATAGTGCGAGCGTAGAAAACTGGTAGTTTTTGATCTCTCGCGTCTAGTTCTTAGGGCTTGGTTCCAGTTGTTCGGTTTACTCCTGCAGTGGACGAGGAAATCCCCTCTGCTTTCTTGCTTTTAGCTTCGGTGAGGTGGATGTTTTGTGGGTTAGTAGGTTGTAATTTGTAGAGTGATTAGGGAGCTACGGGTTGCTGGGAAGTTTAGAGAACTGCCATGACTCCTGTCTGTGTAGGTACCTGGAAGAGAATAGTAAGGTAGTGGTAAAGGAATGAAGAGAGAATAAAGAAGAGAGTGAAGTAGCACCATAGAGACTCTGGGAGCTGGGTTAAGGCCGTATCGCTAACCATCCTTGCCTTTAAACAGGAGTTTGCGTAGATAGCCACTCCCCCTCCTGCTCTATGTTCCCTGTCCCTGCGGAAGAGTTCCATGCCAGCAACACGCATCTCTTCGTCGGAGATGTCCGATGAGAGCCAGGATTCGGTGATGAATATGATGTCGTAGTGCTGATGTTCACGCAGCGTCCTCATTTTTGCTACCTTCCCTATTAGCCCCCTAACGTTGCTGTACATACATATTAGAGTGTACCTGATGAGAGGGGAGGTCTGGATGTGTATTTTCGCGGGATGAGCGCTTACGTGGTTGAATTTAGCCTCGCCAGTCCTCATAGGACTGGCATTGTTCCTTTTTTTGTGTTTTGTTCTTAACTTGGGTGGGGGCTGTAGCAGTGGTGGCTTCTTTACTTGATGTATCTAACTCACTGGTCAGCGCCTGTGTGACGACCACTGACTCCAGAGGTCTTGGTGGTTGCCGTCTCTCCTCTTGCCTTGTGGGTCTAGGCTTACTTTCACATATACGTATTGAGCCACCCATGCGATCTTTCGCATTATACCATGCGTGCAGAACGTCTGTGAGGGAGGCATATGAGTCGAACTGGACGGCAAGTAGTCTGGGATTGGGTATGGTCTTCAGGTGCGCTGGCCTTGGCAGTCTACTGACGCTGTTGGCCGGTATACTGTTGAGACCAACTTTGGTTGAGAGCCATTGCCATTGTTGGACGTCGTGAAAGTACCGATCTTTGACCGAGCTGTCACTTGGCAATTCTGGAATCCCATGTACAACTATAGTGTTGTTTCTGTTGGGATTTCCAACCGCTGACTTTCTCTCCTCCTCTCTTACTGACCATGGCTTGTCAGGCCTGGCCCGAATTTTACAGGCATTAACAACGTCCGGTTGTCGCGAGAGGAGGAGTGTGTCTTCAGCCTCTTTGGCGGTATTTAGGGACACACGTAAAGGGGGTGGCTTATCTCGGGGTGCATGGCTTCCTCGAGAAAGGCGACACAAAGTTGCAGGGAGGGGAGGGAGTCCCAGCATCTGACAGTAGTCGGTCCACATTCGGCTGTCAAATTGTTCCCTCTCGACCAACAATGAGTCTGTCGATACATCGACGTTGAACAAAATGATCGAGTTGGTCCTCCTGTGACCTGGGTTCGTTGTGGGTGGCACGCCCGACTTACCAATGGGTTTGAGTAATTCCACTGGTTGTTTCTCAGTCACGGTGTGTGGGGTGTTCGGAATGGGTTTCGTAGAGGCTTCGGCGGTCGATGTCTTTGGCCATGCGCTTGACGTCCCCTGGGGCCGGGTAGGGGGTATGGAGACTTGACCTAATATGGTCCCCACGCGAGATGGCGTGCCCACAGCTGGAGCTCTAGGTCTGTTTCCAGGTCTCTCTGTGTTATCCTTTGGTGTTAACCCTACTTTATTCGAGGATGCTGGTAGCTTTTGCGTGGCGGAGAGCATCTCCTTCAGGCTTTCTGTGCGGAGTGCGGGCATTTTCCTGCACTCTGGACAGATGTACCAGAACCACTTGCATGGTTGTCTCTTCATCAGCTTATAGTATTGTCGGGGGACTTTGGTATCGCAGTGGCAATGCACCCATCGTTGACACAGGTTGCATGCAAATGCCTCATCGACTACCGAAACAACTTTGGTGCAAACACTGCAGCCATCGGGTGTCGTAATACAGCCTTCCTTCCATGAATAAGGTGCTACGGATTGTGGCGAACTGCTTGTGGCTGCCTTGTTCTGAAGCCTTTTACGTCGTCTTCTATGTTCAGGCATGGTATGATCCTTGCTCAAGATAGGACTAGTTTGTGACGGGCTAGTGCTTCTCTGTGTCACCTGTCTGATGGCTACTGGAATTCTAGAAACATGGGTTGGCCACTTCTTCAGAAGTTCGATGTTCTGCCCTACCTCTGTTTGTCTTCTAGTACAGACTAGTGTGTTGTTTAGGGTGTTACTGGCCGTTGTTGTGCACGACCGCGTTATCCGTGTCAAAGCTTCAGACCTAGCGTTTTGGGCAGACATGTCGCTATGATATAAACTTCTTGGGAAAACAAGTAGTTAACAACAATAAGAGGGTTGAAGACTGAATGCAGGAAAAGGACAGAATAGAAAAGGGAAGATAATTTATGTTGGCTCACCTTCAGACACTTGTCACTTGATCCTCTGCTCTTGACCAACGAGTTTAACCGTAAGCTCCAGATGCGTATGTATAACCAGGAAAGATATTTCCTGGGGAATGACCTCCGAGGAGAACCGAGAGCTAAGGCAGTTTGGCAGTTGAAACGCCCAAGAACCACTGACAGGAGGTAGACCGGTTGGTTCAAAGGAATAATAATGCCAATTTTCAACTGTTGAGGAGTGAGCTGACGAATGCGCAGGGGTGAGGTGCGTGGATGGACAGAAGTGCTGCAAACGTTCGATGTTTTTAGATTGAGTATTGCAAGTGGGAGTTTTTCATTGTGGAAAAATCCAAAAGCTGAGAGACGAGCGAAACACGTCACTACTCAAGGAGCGCGCCAAGTCGTACAAATTCCAATATGCGTATTTTCAAAAAGGTGATTCAAAGTATTCTTTTCAGGTAGTTAGACATGCCATTTCCTGTGGATCGTCGTTTAACTGTGTCTTATAATCTAAAAAAATAATTCACAATGAATAGTGGTAGTTTCAGTATTCAATACCCACTATCTTTTTCCCAGCTGGTGTAAAACAGATGATTTCTCCGCTCTCGCTTCTGGGTCTTACTGCATAGCTGTCCACCCTCTGCTTGCTACTGTCAACAGACAAAGTGGCAGAGGTGTCGAAAGGTAATGCGTCCCAGCGACCACAGAATTTCAAGGAGATAAAGTTTGAACGCACGCAGGTTTTCACCCTTTTGTGTTTGATTTCCCGGGGGTTATCACGACGATTGCCGTAGTAGCCGTTCGGCAGGATTCCACTCTTCGGGCGATTTTGATTTCTTGGCGCTCTGACATCTGCTATAGGGTCGCCATGTGCCTTAGCTAGCTTAAAGAGTCAATTCCTAGGTCATCCAACTCTTCCTCTTGGTGTTTTTGCTGTATTCCCACAACACTTTCCGTTCCTGGCCTCTCGACTTCTCCTAGTCAATTCAACGCTCGTGCTCTCAATGTTCAGTGAAGAGGGGGTGTACTACTAGCATGTCTCTGAGTTGATGGAACGTATTCGTCAACCTTCTCTGTAGTGCTTAACCAAAAGCCTTTCTCAAGTCAGCAAGCATTACATCCACAGGTAGTTCCTCGTCCCCAGTCTTTGATTGATCCTCTTTATTCAGAGGTAGGTTTCTAAAGGAAGAGAGTCCTGCCCGAGAGTCATGTTTTTTATGCCACTATAGATTACATGTTTTTAAGTGCTTTAAAATACTGATGCAGATTCTTCTCTGCCACCGGAACTGCACTACTTGAAGGCCTAACTCGCTGTTACTTTATCTTGGTCTGTTTATGGAAAATGTCACGCAGTGAAACGGTATTATTTTCTGGATGACTTTTCGGGCGTGTTCATGCCCTGTCGTGATCACGGATTGTAAATAATGTCCGGAACGTTGTCCATCAAATAATGCTTCTGTGCGGTGAGTTCTTGACTTGCGTTACATTTACACGTGATCTGCTATACTTCAACTTTAACGTTACCAACAGTTCGATTTAGTGCCTTTGAGCGCCGAAATTTACGTTACGTTGCTCCTGCATAACGTGGTATTCTGTATCGGTAGATCTGCCTGTACAAAAAAACTCGGATCATATATTGCTTCTTTTTCTCAGAAACTCAACTTTCTGATCATCATACGCCTCTTCTGGAACGTTAAAGACACCCATTTTGGTGTACACAGCGGAACCCAAGAAACTACTGAGAAAAAGGGGAAACCAAAACGAGGACTAACCTAAAGAAAGGTTATTTGTCTGTAACACTCAGCTTAGTTACGAACTAAAGCTGTTATCTCCGAGACATAATAGTTTCGCAATATACGTTACCCAAAGTGTAAGGAAACATTTGCTAATAACTGTCATATTTGATGCGTAAATCGTTAGTAAACCTTCTGTAATTGCTGGTTATTTCACTTGTTCTACGGTACTGACGAACCCAATAAAGACGTAACTACTACTACTACTACAGAGGAACTTAGTAAGTGTCATTTAGAACTTGTGATAAATAAACATTAATAATGATGGAATAATGGTGAAGTATACTATTGTTGAAAAATGTTATCCAGTGTATATAATGCTGAAACAATTGACTAGCACCACAAATGTTTTAATACCAGTCTAGAATTTTTCTACGAATAGCTCCATTGATTCTCAGTAAGATTTTGTTATGTGTAAAAGATTTTCAACAGATGAAAGCAGTTTATGTGAACCTGAGGATTTGAAGAAATGACTAAGGAAGCAGCTTGATTTCCGAAACTTTGTATACAAATTCAGTTGAGTTATTTCTATGAGTATTCTGTTCTGTACCGTCAATAAGTGATTCTATGCTTTCAACGAGTAAGAAAGGAGTGAGTCGTTCGTTCAACGAAACTCCATATACGAAAAACTTTTTATAGAT